AGATTTATTTTATAGGTATGGTATATATATGTATATATATTATGATTTTTTTTCGATTATATAAACTATAGTTTTTTTTAATGTTAATTAATTTTTTTATCCATAATCGCGGCGCGCACAAATCTTCACTGACTGTGATTGTTTCTGACAGAGGATACCTGCTGTAATGGTCAGATTGCGTTTAAGTTTTATACTTTGATCTTATCTCTTTAGTATAAATGTACGTGCCATCATTTTTTAAACTTATTCTTCTCAATTCTTTTCTTGCCATACTGACAGGTATTTGTTTTATATATTTTTTTTTATTATCATTATGTACTATCTCATATCGTTGTGTCGTCATCATCATTTCTCATTATCAGCATCATTATCATTATTATTATTTATCTTATATATCTGTAAGTATCATAGGTGAAATAACATCTATGTATTGTATAAATATGCATACCACAACGTAAAATGTTAGAAATATGATGAGATCTTTTTGTAGGAATTTCGAATATGGTTTTCAATATCTATTCTTACTTATTTGTTAAGAATTCATATCTATTCTATCTAGTCTATCTTATCACACATAAGCGTCACTACAACATTTTGTCACTTACATATATTGATGACTAAAATAATCGAAAACTTTTTGATATATTTTTTATAATTATATTTTGTTAGATGTGTGTTTTGTCTTTTCTGCTATTGTTATGTTTTACTTTACATTCCTGAAAAACATGCAATGTTATGGCAAATGTCCAGTTACACTTATATTCTCGTGCACAGATACTCACTATAATAACTATGGAATAATTTTTTTTTCTAATTCTAGATACATTCTTTCCTATTTATTCTTTTGCATCATATCTCTAGCATAAAACGTTTTGAGTAACACAGAAAATTCAGGTTTTATCAGACCTCAAGTATAATGATGTACTAAAATTATTACATACATATATATATATATATATATATATATATATATATATACATGTATACTATAAAAGCCATATGTAAGAGATCAATTTATATTAAAATATGTCATATTGTCATGTACTTGTAACTACCAAGGCAGATAATATGTCTTAGATTATACGTTAGCGTGTAAGTTTGTATACAAAATATATTATAACATAAGAGGTAGAAGCAGAGAAAGAAAGAAAGACAAAGAATTGCATACAAGGCGTATCAAGAATATCGCGCACTTGTGCAGGTACAATCTTAAGAGATGTATACTATAATTTTCTTTAACTCAAAGATATTATCAATAATTTTCGAGATATAAGTGACTGAGAAAATGAAGATCTAATGTCAAAAATTATTATTCAGCATACTAGATAATATAAATCTTAACGATATTTTAATGCAGACTTTATTTCTCAAGGTGTTAAAGGTTGACGAAGAAGAACAGATTAATTTTTAAAATTTTTAAACTGATCTATATTTATGAGAAAGCGCGAGATTTTTTATGCACCTTATATACGGAAGAGAAAAAATATATACGCGCAAACGTCGATATAAGTCTTGAGGAAAGTAATCTGTTTTTTACAGTGGTAGATGGACTATGCAAATAATGGTAAAAGATAATGAAGAATAGCTTTACGAGATTTATAAGAGAAAGGAGGGAAAAGAATGGATGTGAAAGAGAGAAAGAGAGAGAGCAGCAAATATTTCCAAAGTTCGACATATGTCTTCGATTGTTCAAACAAATGAGTGGCTCAAGAAGGTCTATTTTGAAGGCTAGCTAAAAGAACCTATTTCCATCCTTGACGAGGCAAACAGTTGATTCTTGACGGCTTGGAGAATCGACCGTTTCATCGTCGAGCTACGTAGACGTAGTAATGTTCCTGTAGAAAAAGGAAAGATAATAGTTGATGCGTTTCTAAAGAAGAGAAATACTTTTCCGGTGCCTTTGTATTGCGCTGGATTTTCCGCACCTATATAGTTTTCCATCGTAAAGTTTAAGATCTTAAAAAGTGGCGCGTTGTGCCTCTTTGTTTTCGAAACTACATGTATGTAAACTTGTCCGCCTTCATCTCGTTCGAGCAGCCGTTTCCATTATTTTTATATCATTTTTTTTTACATTTTCGAGATCTTATCCGGAACAATTTCAATGAATAATATGCCGCGATATTGTGGTTTGATAAAGTACACTTTTCTCTCTCAGAATACAGGATGTTTCGTTTAATTTTTTGAAATGGAATTAAGAGTGACTCGACTCGGGGGAGTATATAAATATTATATATATTTATATATTTATTTGTATATAAATACAAATTGAACTTATCTTTGCCACATAAAATATTGGAATAATATTTTAAAGGGGATGGCTCTTGTTTTATTTTAGTTTTTGTTTTATTCTAGAAAAAAAAGTAAAAGAGTATATTATTTACTGAATTTATTTTATACGTCGCAGAGAAAATAATTGGGATTAATTGAAGAATACCGTTATTTCTGAAGTGTATCAGGCGCGCTCGTTCGGTTTCGATCAAACTGGAGATATCGGTTAAACTTGATTCTCCTTCATCTTGATTAATTAGAAGCGATCAATTTAAAGTATATGAATTTTATAGAAGATATACTAATAATAATAATAATAAGAATATAACACTAATAATAATTCATAGTAATAACAATAATCATAATAATAATATTAATAACAGCAACAATAATAATAATAATAATAATAATAATAATAATAATAATAATATTAGTAATGCTAATAATAATATTGATAACAGTAATGATAACAGTAAGATAAGAAGCAACACGGAGAAAACAAGATCCGATTCTCTTACGACGTGCTTAATGTAGTTTTACGCGAAACCCCAGAAAGCTGTAAGCAACTTTTCCAGTCGGCAATGACTTATATTTGATGACGAATCATGTATATGTAGATTTTTTCTTTTTATGTTTTTATAATTATACGATAATTTAATAATTCCTTGATGTAGGGAATATAAGTAAGCTTCGTTTCTCTTTAATAATCTTTTGTAATCGTTGCTCGAAACGAGAATAGTTCTATATGATATAATTTTTTTTTGCAAATGTACTTATACTTGCAAGGATATATCCTCTGTTCTCATCGATTTGTTCGTTCCGAGCATCGAATGTACCGTTGAACGGTAGAGATATTGTAAAGGCGACTTTATAAATTTGTGATTGGACATCAAAGTTGACTACTCAACAAAAAGGTAGTGGAAAAAAGTCTAAAAGAGAACCCGACACCTCGATGTAACTCGAATGTGAGTCTCTCAGGAGCAGTGATGGCAATGAAAACCATATTTTTCTATATACGCAGTGTCCTGGGACTTTCCATTATCTGTATTAAATCTAGAGCGAAGAAAAAAGAAATGAATTTGACCCATGTCCTCGTCGCAAGACGCGAACATACCTCAAATGCGAATGTAATTATCAATTGGTTTATGCAAAACGGGAAAAAGTTAGATAAACGTACGTTATTCTTCCTTTTATTTTTATAATTGCTTGTCTTTTGTGTATTTTCCCTTATCCGCTACATTTGTCGCGGAATACAGAGTACAAGTATCATCCGAACGGAAAATTTTGCACGAACCAAAACATACGTCGCTATTATGCGAAGACTCTTCAATGGGGAGACTATGGTTTAGGTTTTTTTTTTCTCCCTTATCTCAGATCTGGCGCCTTGGCATTGTGTGCTACGAGTGATGCGTAATACATATATGTGTATAATTGACAAAGTTCTCGACAAATATACGTTATAACAGGCGATTGACGATGGAAAAACATACAAATTCCTCGACATAGTACAAACGCTCAGATTCTTCTTGTTTTCTCTTCGGATAGATTAGACGCGTGTGTAATTAATATACGAATGAAATATTGTAATAACCGGCTGACCTCGAATTCTTTCTCTCATCCAGTATGGTCTTTTCGCGGGGATAAATCTTTTCCGGATGACGTGAGATTTATATATTTATCGTGCCATTAAATCGATGGGATAGACGATAATTTTATAATTGGACGCTTAAATTAGGCGAGTCTTCTAGAGTGCAATAATATCTAGACGTTGGAGTGTCTATGCCTCCATTTAGTTTGTATTTTTGAATCAAAAATTTCAAATGTAATCTTTAGAAATTTTCTTGTCTTCTTTAGATCTATATTTCATTTCAAAGGCTATTTTTATTTCTCTGTATAAAAGTATGTTTAGACGCTGAAATTTCTACAGTTAAATGCGCGAATTGACTTCGAGGGCTTCCGGTGATAAATTATTAACATAGCACTGAAGGCTATATCATATTTTGCCTAATTTAAATAATTTTTTCGTTTAAATGTATGTAATTTCTAAGCTCACATTCTCCGATTATCTCCATTTCTGTAGCTAAATTTTGTACCGCAGTCTTCCAAGGTACAAAAAAATAACCGAGTTATTCGTCATGCGTGAATCAAAAACTGATGAATGAGCATAGTGAGAGGACATATAGAAAGAGAAGAAACAAAAGAACAAGATAAATATGTGTTTAAAAAAAGACAAGTGTATGTATAATTAAGCGATCCCTCTGATAATGTCAACGTTTTATTTTTATATAGAACGCTTAAAATGTCTGATGTCGATTTTAAGAACGGGAGACGAGAAAATTGAATGAACGAAAGATGGAAGAGCGAGTGTGAATAATATAACAAAAAAAGAGAAAAATATTTAGAGAGACGTAGGTATGTACTAGACGCTGATAAACTTAGGGGCCTATTCTGTAACCTTTAACGATGTCGTTATAGATATCATTGCGCAACCGTTTTCCGATACGTTTTAGCTGCGCAATGATATGTAACCACGTCGTTAAAAGTTACAGAATAGAGCCCTTAAGCCGCGAGAGAATGGAGATTTGCAATTTGCGCGCGTTTCTAAGATACTTCAGATCTATAAAAAATATGCTTCATGTATAATATATCCTATATGTTATATCACACATTCTATGTATACACATATACATATATACATAGATATACATCCACGAAAATGCGTGACGTATATCTTTTCTTACAATTCTTTATATATATAAATATGTATATAAATTGTAAGAAAAGTCATATATTGGGAGATTTTTTATTTGTTCGGGGTTTATATTACCCCCGGAAAAGAATCTACTCTCTCTCTATCCCTATCCCGCGCGTTACTATCTATTTTCTTTTTTCCGTTCTTGCGAGAGAATGAAATTGTCGATCAACTTGAATATGCGTTTTTGCATTTCCAATGACTGTATTATATATATAAACGAGGTAGATATTTTTATATATATAATAATCATTTATTAATTTATAACTAAGACTCACTGCGATTGATGACACAACACTCTGTCCTTTCCACTTTTTCTTTCATTTTAGGGACTTAGATTGTACTCTTATATTCCGCGCATTGTTTGTGTGAGTGTACAAGAGTGCAACTTGACAGTATAATAAGAAAATGCCAATAAAATACCATGAATTTTCATAACAAGCACAACTAATATATGTAGAGCCCGACTCGCGCGTGTGCGCAATGCAGGTATATTATTACGTTGGAAATGGAAGAATCGACATTATATATGTATATTTTGTGCCTTTTCAGGACACAATGTCCGAATATATTTTCTCCAAATCTGCCTGCAACGAAGAGTGACAGAGAAGTCGCTATATATATTAACAAGATTTCGATACACGTGAATTTTTTTTTCAACAATACTATAAACGGTACAAACCATCCTTTCAATTAACAATAAATTATATCTACAGATATGCATCAATGAATCCACGGAGATAACATGTCCTTATATTTCGTTATTGCATACTCTAATCATTTTTTATAATTTCGTTACAATCGCAAATTAATGCGTTTTTATTAATCGCCGCATAAAGATTTCTATACCGTATATTCGATGGAAATGTTTAATCCTCAAAAAAAAAAAAAAAAAAACCAGATTTTTATTTCTACAATATTAGCGCTTTACAATATTACTCTACAATTAGTCTCCCAATTTGATGGAGACTATCTTGTTTCTTTACTTCAAACGCAAAAGAAAAAGCAGCTAGCAAATTTGGGAATCGTGTTATTGCGTTGTATTGCCAAGTATATTGGTATTATCGTTTTCTTCGTTTACAACTGTTATCAATATTATATAAAGATCTAACGCGCTTCATGATGCCATAATCTGTTTCTATTGTCTTCTAACGCCTAATTAAATTTATATACTTTTCAATGCAACAAAGAGAATATCGCTTTGAATAACAAACAGAAATGAAGAGCAAATCTCGAAACAAGATTCAAGTTTAAATCTATTTAAAACGATCAGTCTAGAAATAAAATAATCTGTGTTCTGGCTGCTCGTGTTATACATATACAGGGTGAGTCATTTTAATCAACGCACGCAAATATCTCGTAAAGTAAGCAAGATGGAAAAAAATGTTTCGAGATAAGCTACAAGAATATGCAATAAAAAAGGAGGGTTCCATTTAAGAAAATATCGATCACATTGACTTGGCCTTCAAGGTCCTTCAAGTTCCTGACTCAAGGTCAAGTCCATATTTTCATCATGTGTCCCCCTCTGAACCCTACAACTTTTGTATAAAATATTTTTTTCCATCTTGCTTACTTTACGAGATATTTGCGTGCGTTGATTAAGATGACTCACCCTGTATATGATTTATAAAAACATTCATTGGATTCACAATCTTGCAAGACCAAACTTTTCGTTTTCTTTTTTTCAAAGAATAAATAATGCTACGTAAAAAAGGGTCGTTGATGATAACGATTATTCCGAATTTTAAAGCAAACTTATTCGAGTTTAAAAAATCTCAACAGGTACATTCTTAATATAGAGAGACAACCTTCTACACATACAGTGTATTATAAAGAATATTACAAAATTGATAACATGATCGTAATCTTGCCTACTTATTGACAAAGTACATATAAGATATACTCCCCCTTAGGAACATGGATTGTTATATTATTAACAATTATTTTCGATTATTCCGCAAAGTTAAGTATGTTAGATAAAGCTTATTAAATTCGTATTAAATCTTACAGAATTAAATAATCGCGTAGTAGTAAAACGATCTTGGCTTATAGACGGAGATAAGAATATATATTACACAGTCATTATATAGCTATAATAACTAAGTCCGTAAAATAGAAAACGGGGGAGGTCCGGTCTGTCTCATCATCATTGCAAAACTACTTAGTCCCTCATCGCTCGGTTGCTGATCGTTCTGATTGTTTTGCGATATATTTAAATGCTTGCTCCGACCGCTATTATGACTTTGCAAATGTTTTTTCAAATGGTCTTTTCTATAGAAAGCTTTGCCGCACTCTGTACAAATTTGATTCTTGCTACCTGAGTGAGTGATCATGTGACGCGCCAAGTGTTCGTTACGTTTAAATGCTTTACAACACATGTTACATTGATAAGGCCTATCCTTATTATGACCTTGCTTGTGACGATCCAAGTGCTCCTTCCGTTTTAAGCTTGCCCCACAAATATCACAGATATGTGGTCTCTGTTTATGATCTTCGAGATGTTCGTGGAGCGCTTCTCGATCTTCAAATCTGTATGCGCACTCGGGGCAATGGTAAATCAACATACCTTGCAAGCAAAAGAATTATATGTTACACGAGATAGATTGTCCATAATAAGAACATAAAGGTTATTTCTTTTGTTTTCGACAAATATTCCGCCACACGTTGTTATAAAAGATATCGACAAAATTGCCTTAATATAAGATATAACATAACTCACCATTAATATGCTGTGGTTCAATCTCAAATTCAATTTTTGGTCTTACTGCTTGACAGCTATGCGAATTATTACTATTGTCCTCGTATTTAGTTACGTATGGTAAACCTAACGTACTCGAACAACGCGCCAAGTATTCAGAAGTAAGCCTAAAATCAATCTGTAAAGGATCCGTCATGGTCGCAGCATCGACTTTCTGCACAGTTTGTGTGCCGGATGACTGCTGCGAGATTTGTGGACAGAGCTCTTTCGTACCGCACAAGTTGTTCTCATTTCTATTTTCATCAGTCTGTTGGAAATGCTGCGGCGGATGACCAGCGTATGTATATCCAGTCATGTTGGGTCGAGTAGTATGCTGATGGGCATGAGTGTTGGGTGAATATTTTACGTTACGTGAATCGTAAGCCATGATATTATGTAAACAGCCGTTGCAGAGAGGCCTTGATATATCCGCTACACAATTTTAATTCCAATCGCAATGACACGTACGATGTCTGTGTTGTCTGTAATATCTACAACATCCGCAGCGTCGCCTTAAAAAAAAAAAGTAAAAAGAGAAAAGAGTTAAAAGAACTGTCTCACTATAATGATATACGTGAATACCAATGGAAAAAAATGCGCCTTACTGTATGACGAATATCATTGTAGAAGTGATCGCTGCATTCTGCTTCGTCGTTTTTATCACGCTCATCTCGTCGCTTCTCAGACGAAACAAATGTATCGGCATCGCCGATCAAATCGTTAGCGAGAGTAAACTTCGATCGGACAATGTTTCTTATCTACGATTACGCTTTATGCGGGATAGAAATTACGCTGATGCATCTGCGAAATCTGCGATTATTTTGCGAAATGAGTGATACGAGTAAACAGCCACCGATTATGGCCAATACAATGAGAGAACAGTTTCAATTTCAAATTCCTTTACTCTCTCACCTTCATTTCATATCAATCGTGCGATATGTATGTATGGACCAAATGCTGCGAGTTTATCCGTTTGTATCAGTGCCGGCCATCTTTACGCATCAGCTGCGTTGCACAGTGTCGCAGCTGCGCGAGGGGATAGGGGACTAAAGCGCGCAAACGAGACTGCGCTGCTACCGTAGAGATGGAAAAGAACGTGTTTTTTCTTTAATAAAAGAAAATTCTTTTTTTATCATTTTTTTTTTAAATAGAATATTATTTTTCTCCATTTTTTGTTAATATCGTGTATTGACAAATCTTGCGATTACTAGCGAAAGATAAGCGACCGATTTAATTAGAGGAAAGATGTTAACATTGATGACATACCGATTTTTGTTCTTGACGTTTCAATTCCTCCACTTGAAAGTTTGAAATAAAAATTTAGATCGTGGGTATTCCGGATATGGGTATACCGGAGATTCTTCTCCCTATTACATTATATTTGTTTTATTTTTTGTAGTATTTGTTTCCAATTCTTCTTTTTGAAAAAAATAGTCTTTTTTTTTTTAAGCGAATGGAAACTGGCGTCTGAGAATTTGATTTTGAAAATCAAAATATATTCATTGAAGAGTAGTATAGATGAAATACGATAAAAAAATCACGGGAGGAATAATAAAAGCAGAAATATTGTCAAAGAAAATATATATTCTCCGTTTTATTATCACTATTTAAATTATATACAACTCCGATACAAGTCGATTTACCTTATAAACGAATAACGAATGTACAAACGATAATTTCTTATGAGTAAATCAACGAATCGAGTTTATATCGTCTGGTAAAAGTGTGCAGCGCACGCACACACACCACACACACACACACACACACACACACACACACACACACACACACACACACACACACACACACACACACACACACACACACACACACACACACACACACACACACACGCACACACACACACACACACACACACACACACACACAACTTATTAATTGCTATCAAATTAGAATATATCGCGGTTCAAGAGACCTATGTCGCTTTTTGAGATACTTTCTCTCTCTATTGTATCCTCTTTTATTTTATTTTGTTATTATTTTTAATTGTTGCGCTCTTAAAAAAGAGAGAAATGTGCATTTTGTCGCGCTCTTGTTAATAATATTCTAATTTTTTTGCTTCCTTTTTTGAATCACGCTCGATTTTACACCAGCTATGATCTAAATTTCTTGATCAAACCTGTTTCGATTCCGTTATGCATAGCCAAAGATAAGCGTGTAGGATGCATGTACAGGGAAATAATTAAATATTATTAAAATTATTTAATGAATATATATCTATACATGTATATCTATACATCTTTACGTATATAGCCGGAAAAACTGCAGTAGGCTCTCTAAATTTACATACTCATAGATTCTGATAATACTTTTACGAATTATTGCTTACTGTACTCGATTTGCCCGTCGGTAGGGAGGACGGATTTCCTCTCGCGGATACTTTGGCTAAAGAGTTTTCCATCCTGCTAATCAATTTCTGAAAGGTATTCCTCTTGGCCGCGCCATTTCCTTCGGAGGAATCCTCGATCTCCTCGCACTCGTTCGCGCCGCTTCGTCTATTTGTCTCGACGGAATCGCTTGCTCGCGACTTTCTGTTGACAGTAAACCGATTCCACGATCTTTTATCGGAGTTGATGGTCGATTTCGTCGCGTCCTCGTTCGCGTCCCTTTTCCCGCTAATGTCTCTTTGTCGCGCCGTGAAATCCACCCATAGCGCTATATCATCGTACAATATTTCGTTTCGCTGATCCGCGGTATCGTGAATGCATAGATCGCTCCTCGGTGACTGGTAATGCTCGATGTCTTCCCGGAAAGGATCGTTGTTCGCCTCCAGTCCCATGTTAGCGTTACCCGTAATCTCCTTCCTTACCGTAGTTTTCACACCCGACTCCTGCATCGACCGTAGGCTCGTTTGCTATCAAAAGAAAATTTCAATCAAGTGTCGATCAATTAAGGAACTGCCGATTAACATACATACATACATATATATATATA